AAAGCGGTATGGAGCTCCGCAGGCTGGATATTTACGCCCATGGAACTTCAAAGAGCATAATGGCACGTGCACTGACCCGTTTGCCTCAATAACCACATCTGATACGCGTTACCTTGAGATTTAATTCTGCTCCGACGTAGCGAACATGATGATCTCGCCATCGTTTGCGACTACTACGAATTCTGTTTCGAGTACAGTTCTAACATGTAAAACCAAAACCATGAAACTAAAGAAATAAGTCGAAATGTGAAAAATTCGAAAAGACCCATATGCAATTCAGGAATTTATTATACGGAAAGAATTTGTAGAACCAAAGAATTAACCAAATCAAGGATGTCAGATCAGACTGCAGAATTGGTATAAATTATTTCAAAATATGTTCCTTGTATTATTGAAACGCTGCATAAAACTATCCAGTTAAAAAATTATTAGGAGATATGAAATAACGATCACTAATTTTCTCTTTATAGAAAAGTCATCTTTACATTCGCTGATCCGTAGAAAAGTTTCTTTCAGAGCATTACGCACAATAAAAAGAAAAAGAAAATTTTTGTAATGTAATATATGTATATACATAAAATTGTACACGCATAATTTACATACTAGAACCACACAGAATTATTTCGAATTTCAAAATATATTAGAAGATTAAACAACGCTTTTGTCACGCTATGAGAGGACGCTGGCAACGAGAAAATAGTTCTCGCTGGGTAGACACGCAATTTGCATTTTTGTTCTCGGTCCCACGGCACCTTCATCTTCGTATCCAAATATCATGGCGCTCCGAGGAGTGTTTTCGATGCAATTCGCGCGAAAGAATACTGGCGCGGCCGAAGACACAGCTCGGAAAATTGCGAGATAGGATGAAGAGAGAGAGAGCAGGCTAGCGCTCCTCATTTTCCGATACCGTTCCTGCCCATCTCTGCAGAACATTGCTTTTCGTTTTTTCTCCTCGACGCCGACAGTTAAAGTAGTTGCGAAACCGACGTTCCCTGTCGGTCCAGAATGAGTTTTGTCGTCCTCCCCGTGGCTAAAGTTATTTTTTCAGCGCCGAAATATTGGAAACGTTCGTTAGGGCGTAATTAAAACTTGGATAAGCGATAAATATTACTCAAGGAAGTCGCAATTAATATGGAAGCGGATTTTATTTACGAACCGAGCTCGGTCTGAATTCATGACGGTCTACAGCGAACAAATCAAGGATTTCCAAATAAAACCCTGTCATTATGCAAGTTCGGGTAATTTCAATTTCTTTGTTATTAGATATACATCTCAAATATTGATTATTTGTAACGAACGAAAATTCTAAGTCTTTTTTTCGCTTTATTTTATGTTTATCAGATCATAAAAAATTTGTCTAGCCGATTCAATTTCCTCGATGGTTTGTAAACTCAGTTTGCATCGAACGCTTTATTCATTTACTACATCCTCTTGAAACTGAATAGGATTACAACGGCGGGTATGAAATTACATTGAAGCGCGGTAATGACTCTCCATTGCCTAGTGTCTCTTTGTTTCTGACGCAGGATTATGAGGAACATTACATTTTTTATTTTATATGATTTCTGTTCCGTGTTGTAAACAACAAACGAAATAAGTGACCGTGTCTGTTGGCGTGGTCCACCGGACACTGTCGATCGTCCGGGAGAAGCGAAAGGTGAGATTTATTTCAAATATGCCAGATGAAATGCATTTGGCATAATGCGTATTCTCTTGTGCAACTGCATTTTAAATTTTATTTGATTCTGTCAACCGATATACGTGAACATTCCGTAATTTCGCCAGAAAAGCGATTGCAGGAGAAATTTATTTTCATTGTTAACGCAGGACGCGGACTATTATATTTTGTTGCACATTCGAAATATCATCCGTTCGTTATACGTATTACAGAGGTATATTTTTTGCGCCGAAAAGATGCAGCAGGCGCACCGTTTGATTTATTTCTTCGCGCTATACCAGCCGGCGGAATTTTCACGCTCTGAGATAAACTAGTAACGTTATACGAGCGCGTATCGATCCGCCTCCCGCTACAATGCATAAAAAGGTACGTCGTCGCAGTCTGTCTCATGCATCATATACGTCCCTGCAGCTTTAGATGTCGATACGTTTTCATGTTTCGTTTCGAATCCTTCTATTCATTCGAGAGCGGATGGAAATGTGGAAACGAGTCGCCCGAGTTCTGGAGTTTTTTTTATTTGATACAGGTTATATTCGCCAAAATATACGAGGTTTAGCAGCGAGACAGAATTTATTATCACTTTGATTAACGAATTTCACGATTCTGTTCAATAATAATATATTAATTACGATGCTATTTAGCATTTAAAATTAATGGTGCTTAACGAATTCAGCGTAAATAAAAATCATAAGATCTATATTAATCTGATTTATATTAATTCACGTGGACTATAATGAAATTTTTATCTAAAGCTTAATTAATTTATTAAGGCGTTATAAAAATTGTTGTAATTATCTTAATATCGTTTCGTTAAAGTTATAAAATTACATCGGTGGCATTGCGTTTATCCAATAATTGTATTGTCTATATCGAAAGTTGGGAAGCAAAAAGTGATGGTATTCAATTAAAGTTTCATTAAGGAACAATTAATTTCACGTTTGTTAAAAAATATAATCTTGTTATTGATTCTCATACCTCGGCGAACGTCGTGTACGCGATATTGGCAACGACATATAACCGATAGTAGTTTTTTTTTTTTAAACATATTACAAGACAAACGAAAAGATCGCAATTTATTTTATTGATTACATGACATGATTTTATTAATATGTAATAAATGAACGATGAAATGCTTCCTTTATGGATATAGGACATTGGTTGATAAGCCTTTCCGGTTCGATTTCATGCCTTGTTCGATTATTTGATCCGGCGGATGAAGACGAGAGTCTTAGACGAGAGGGACAATCAGCTTATTTCGAGCTTACCCGGCTAAAATTCCTTTTTGTTCCGATACCACAGTCTAAGAATGAAACCTAGAGGAGTCTTAATGTACCCTTGTCTTCTTTTTTAAAATCCCCGTACTCGAAGCAAAATAAAGTACAGGCTGCTCGCTTTCATAAAAATCAATTTTCTCACTCGCAATATTACCTAGAAGCGAAATATCTTGTAAAATGTAACTCAGCTGCATTATCACTCAGTATCAGAATTTCTTTTGATGTTCGTAAATTGCAGCACTAAATACGTCTGATGGATGTCGTTTAGTATCAGAATAATAAATAATGGAAAGAGAAATGATTCTCTCTCTCTCTCTCTCTCTCTCTCTCTCTTTCTCTTTCTCTCTTTTTCTCTTTCTGTCTGCAGTCATAGCTCTCGAATGCGCAATGCAAATGCACTCTTGCACTTAGTACCTTTATGATTTTCTCAGATACTGGGCGCAGCATCGCGTAATTCTTCAGCGCATAATGAGATTAAATGCCTGACGTCATGGATAAAAATGCCTATCATAAAACAGTTTCATTTCCTTGTTCCTAATTCTCCATGGACACATAAATTACTCTTCTCGACTCTTCGTAAATTCTTCGCGATATTTATGAAAGAGCTCTTCATGAATAAAAGTTATATCGAACGGATATCGAATTTCCGGTGTAATGGAAATGGTCTCGTTTTGTAACTGCACGTCATGTAAACACCGGAGCGAAAAAAGAGGATAATCTATTCTTGTATAGAAGTGAATCTCATGTCGCAAATGCAACGCAAAATTTCCTGCTCCGAGTCGAATATCTTCGTTTAGCAAATTCGCGCGACGCAATTTAGCATTGTTCGTAGCAGATGTATAAAGGCTCGAAAGCATTAAGAACTTGGAGAATTACGCGCCTCATTTATTTTGATCAGGCTTAAAACTTATACGCGTCTGGGGCATCCGGGGCGCAATTGCACTTATCGTGAATGCGAAGGTATAGCGGCGAAGGTAGCGCGTCTCGTGAAGCATAATGCGAGGTGCTTGCGAGGCGCTCTTTAGAAATCGGCTAAATGACGCGACGAGGAAAGTGCATTTTTGCCCTCCATAATATTCATACACTATACGGCGACGTTGTTCCGAGAGAGCTTGCCGAGAGAGTAACGGGCGCATCTCGCGGAAAGCGTTTGGGATTCCGGACGGCAAGAGAGTACCGTGCACACCCTCGCATCGCGTCGCACCGACAGATAGGTACGCGAAGCCGAGCGAGATTGTGGTAACTCTTCACGTAGCGTTGCCCGTTGCCTCCCTTTTTTCGCGCATGATTATTCCGGGTTTTTTTTCCACGGGACAAAAGTCGCCTGATATAAATTCATGCTGCGCTTTCGGAAATTACAAGCGATATTAACCCCGGAGGGAAGGAAAGGGAGAGGGAAACTGCAGCTGTGTCAAGTCATTCCCCGCTGGAAACTTTGTCTTGTTAACGTAGTCAGGGATAAGCTACGCAGCACAATTTCGCGGCGAATCTCTGGAGGGTTTCACCGTTCGATTCCCTTGATTGATAGCACACGTCAACCGGATCATCCCTTTTTTATCACACGATATGAGTCGAGTTGGGACTTGTTAGGCGAAAAGAGGTCCGTCTTTCTCTTTGTCGCTAGCGAGCAAACTCGTACGAGAGTATACACAAAAATCCGCACGGTGGATATTGAATTATTCGATCGACCTGATTACGCGAATGTCTCGGAAAGCTCCTGGCAGTTTTTGCACGTTCGAGTTCGGCCATTATTTATCTGTGATGCGCTTTAAATTTCGTAGAATAAAATATGACTGTGTTATTCGTAATTTCGAGGAAATGCTTGACATTTGCGACGTCCTACATATTTATAGCATTTATTTCTAAAGTTATTAATATTCGATTTATATATCGAGTCTTATCAATTTAATTGCTATTTAATATTCCAGGGCTGTGATAAGTTGGAATTCGAAATTGGATAAGGTTTTAATTTATAGCACTTATTTTCGAAAATGGGTTTCAAATGCACTAAAGAATTTATCTATAATTATTATTTATATTTGTTACAGCTCGTCGACTGAACGAGTACATCCGCCACTACGAAACGCTGTCATATCCCGTCGAGGAGGTCCATCGAAGCCACCTGAGGGCGAAGAGGTCGATCAACCGCGACAGTACCGTGACGTTAAAGTTTCGCGCGCACGGCAAGGATTTCCACATCCGATTAAAACGAGACTTGACCACCTTTAGTAACAACCTAATTATCGAAGGATCCACGGGGGAAAGACAGTACAACGCCGATATCTCTCACGTTTATCAGGGCAACCTAGTCGGTATGTTTTACAAGATAAATATCTATATTAAATATGTAGATAAATATCTACATATTTTTATAAATAACTGAAAGAAAAACATGGTTGATCTAAAACATTGAGGTGTTTTTGATCAACCACGTTTTTCCTTCAATTATTATTTATTAAATCTATATTTATTTTTACATAATATGCGATTAAATGAAAGAGTAGAGCGTTAATGAAACATAAACCAAGTTGCAATGTTTTATATATAAATGACACAATTGCGGACGATGTTACAAATATCATGAAATTACAAGATTCCATTTCTCTTATTTAATTATATATGAAGCTTCCGGGAACGTGCTTGATTCGATATTATTGTTTTAATGAGATAGGATATCAAGATTGATACCGCTCGCAATTTCTATTGATATTTCTGTAAATTTAACATTGCGATTTAATTTTTATGTGACCTTTTGACAAGACAGATGGTATGTGATCGCTCGCCAACAATATATTCGCCATCGATCGTACTAAAATTGTTCATTTGCGATTGATTTATTTGTTCTTCTATTCAAAGTGACTTGCACAATATGTTTCTCAATACAATATTTCCCAGCTATTTCTATAATATCGTTAGAATATTCTACAGTGTCGTTAGATGAAAGAGCGGTTGTTCAAAGATACCTCGTGTACGCACCATAATGTTAGAGGTTTCTAACTTGAACAGTATACGCAGTATCGGTGCACTTTTCCCAATATAGACTCGTAGTATTATGACATCAAGTTGGCAATCTTTTCTCTCGGTGTTTCATCGCGTCATTTTTGCATAAATGACGCGATGTAAAGTCACACAGAATCGATCGGTAGCGATCGTTTGGACTTTCTACTTGCGAGAGGCTCACATAGACGCCGGCATAAAATTGTATGAGTTTCCGTGTTCATACACATAGTCGCAACAGCCTCTGGAAATATTTATTGCAGGAGAAATAGCGGAATTTATTTTTGCAAAAGTAATAGAACGACTGCATGTACGCCGAAGGAAAGCAGTAAAAGCTACGTAAAGAATTCAAAGTTGTAAATATCGAAACGCTGATTTTACAAATTATATATTTTAACATCTTATATTTATTTGTCATTCTAGCATTTATAATGTCATTAATTTCGTAATAATACAGGTAAAATAAAGACATAGTATAGGATATTATGAGAAGATATAATATTCTTTAAAAAAATTTTTTTTTTCTTAATTACTGAGATGTTTATTATTTTCAAGGTACAACGAAACGTACGGAATCTAATCAAATCTTGTTGAAGAAAAGCTGTCTTCTAATCCATCGCAGAATACGTTGCTGAAGTTTAACGCTATCCTTACAAGACACTCTGCATATTCAAAGAACTTCCGTCTAAATAAACTAAATTTAACACAAATAGAGGGAAGTGCTCTCAACTGTACAAACAAAAGGCTATACTTAAATTTATAACCGTGGTACACTCTGTCCGACCTCCGCGTTCGCTTCGTCGTCGGTTACGCATATTGCATCTTGTAGCTTCTGCATCGTGTAGCTTCGACGAAGCGGTACCGCATTTCTTTGTAACGCTTCCGTTACGTTTCCCGATGCCAGGTGTGGCACGCAAAAGTGCGTGTCAACGTAGATACCAGGTGGAACCTTTATTTTCAGTCTGTAATAATTTTATACAAGTTCAGCAAGCAACGTTTCAAATTATGAATCAAGTGGAAAACGATTTATCACTTCGTATCGACGATTTTCCACGACCTGTCATAGCCTCAGTCTTTGTCGGATAATGTCGCGAAAAGGCATATTTCAATTTAGGGATCGAAGGAATTCTGAATCATGGGTTTAGCCGTGATGTCACTAGCACTTCGTCACTATATTACTAAGTTCTTCGAATAATGCTATCAAGCCTGTGGGAAACATTTTGTGACTGTAAACAGAAAAGGTATTTAAATGTATGTGTTTCGGCTTCGAAGTCTTTGAAAATTAAGAGAACCATGCAGCTTCTGTTACTTTTATTTGAGCCATTAATATTTTAACTGGTTCTTTAACTAACTTTGAAAAAAGTGATTTATTTGAAAAATCTTTTTCTCTTTTTTCGAATTACAAGTCTCTATAGACATTATATAATATACTATACCAGTAAATTTTTTGTTCAATATTTTTGTACGTATAAAAGGTTAAAGAACAATGTCAATATTAGAAATATGTATGCGCGCGCGAAAAAGAACTCTAGAGTGACATTCGGGGCTGTCTGAAACGTTTTCCGTTTCGGAAGCAAAAGATTCCCTTTGTTCTTGCATATCAAAAGGAATTTTGAATTGTGATAAGCTCGACTGTGCGGGCGACTCCGCTTTTCTGCGATCTATTATCTAAAGGAAAAAGGATATATGCGCGAGACGCCCCGCCCGCCGCTTTCTGAATATTCTCTCTATTATTGTCGTTTACTCACTATACCTGCAGGTACGCTGAAGTATTGTCCTGCGCTTTTAACGATTCAATACTATCTTTTCACGTTGGGCGCGTTAGTCGAAGATATGTCGCAAAATATTTTCCATATATAATACGTGACGGAATGGGATTTCAACATTCCTTTAGTACCAAATGTATTTTTCGTCGACGAATGTAGCTCTCTTTTGCACAAAGGAAAATAAAATATTCATTACACGCTTTATTGAAGAAATTTTCAAATCGTATAACTATGGAATCTGAATTCTCGAATTTCGCTGATGATTGACAAAGACATTTTTTTTTTTTCGTTATATTATTTCCTTTGATATATTAGTTTCATAATACAATATCATTTATTTTATGCAAGTAGGCAAGCATTCTCGCAAAAAAGTCAAATTACAGCCATTTTTTTTAAATATGCATGTTACAGGATTAATTAAAAAGAAATAATTAGTAATTTTATCAAGATGAAGGATCAACAATTATAAGTTACAAGTAAAGAAGGTACTTGAAAGGTTTTTAAAAATTGTTGGGGCAAATTAGTTGGTACGAACAAATAATAGAATCTTGTTTCTTATTTTTAAATAAATGTCAACAGAATATATAGTTATTTTTTGTTAAAAATAAAACCGCTTAAAAATAAAATTTAATTTTATCAAGTTTTTATTATCGAAATATCGGTATCACGCACACAGAGTAACTACTGTAGAATTTTTAAAATTCTAGAAATGAGGAAATTGGGACAGACCATTTGTATATAAATAAGTATTCTATTACTACAGCAGAACATTCTACGTACACCATTTACATACTTATAAATTTTTCAACGTTATAATTAAATCAAGTTTGTACTTTGTCCTGTTTAATTTTAAAAAATTTTTTTATTTTCGCGGAAAGATAAAAATATACATGCACACCTTTAATTTTCCTACGTGCATCTCGGTTAAGCGAATAATAAATTAGACAGGTAGACAGCAAGAGCAAGTCGCTGCGTAAGCCAACAGTTTCTGGTGCAGAAAAGTTTTGCCGAGAGACAAAGTTTCCACCATCGATACTTTTTCAAGCGAAGCGAGAGAGTCACATGTTCGTTCGAACATGGTTTCTTACTCGCATGTTCATTTATCCAAATATCCGTATTACTTCCATAAGTAATATTTTCTTTTCTTTTAACTTTAAAAAAAGAACAAGGAACACAAAAGATGAAAAACTTTCCACTCTCATTTTAATATCACTGGTTAGGAGAAGATGCAGTAATGATTTACGTGTTATTCGTGTGTATATATGCATACGTCTTATATTTAAAGATTAACACGTGATTGTTTAAAGTTCCATAACATTGAATAAAAATCTATTTTGTTATGAATATCTTTATTCGCGATACTTTAAATAAAACGAGAGTTTTGTGTTGTTAAAGATTTATTGCCATGATTACGATGATAAAAATTTCCACGGACATTCTCGACACGCATCTGATCAGGAATATATCTTCTACTTTCAGGCGAACCTGGTAGCCATGTGTTCGGAAGTGTCAGTGATGGAGTCTTCTACGGGAAGATAGTATCACCGAAAAATGGTTCGTGGTACGTGGAAAGGGCGCATTATTACTTTCCGCCGCATGAGATAAACGAGACGCTGCATTCTGTGATCTATCACGAGAATGACGTCGGTGATCCGTACGTGGACGTTCGACAAGGTAAGGCGCAAAAAAGACGAGATTCTTTTTTCTTACCGATATTATCTCTCGAGGCGCACGTCACTGTTCGTGCGTAAGCTCGTGAATATAGTTTAGTTAGCAAGGAAATGACTTTTAGAGCTTCAGACCATTTATTATAAATTTCCAATATTAAAATATCATTTGTCACTGGTATATCTCATACTTCCAACAATATACTTTTTGTTACAAAACATTTAGTTTTAATAAAGATAGAAATTAATTGAAAGCGAAACTTAAAGAAGTAGAACATTAAAGTCTTAAATTGTATCTTTTTAAATGTCAAAAAATATTGCAGTGTATCATATGTCAGTTAACTTTCGTGAGATTATACTATGATTTTCCAATACTTTGCGTTCTCGCGACTTGTGAAGCAAATTTGCAGCGAATAAATATTTTTTCGTTGCTTCCACAGTTTACGAGCTTTTGATTAGCTTATTTAGCTTATTTATATTCGTAAACTTGCGGACGATAACATAAACTGCGCGTTGGACTCGAGTCGCGAAAGTTTGTTTAATATCTGATCGAAACAACTTGTGTAATGGCTTCGGACAAAGCTGCGAGCTTCATTATGCACACGAAGAAGCAGCGTGTACCTAATATGCATTCGAAGAAAATGATAAATTTAGATTGGAAACGATTTACTTAACTACAGGTTACGATAATAATTGTTATGTCCATCGTGCATGAAAGATTTACTAATTATAAGGCGGCCGTGCGTCCGAGAACGTTTTTAAACGCTCGTTCGGACATGTTGTTCAATACGACGATCTCCAAGTGGCGCCTCACGACATCGTGCACCTCCATTTTCCACCCTTTTGTCACGCGATGCCTATCTTCCGCTCTCTTCTCGGAACATCTTCCGCTTTTTTTCCTTTTAGTAACGATCTTTTAGTAGTCGTCTTTAAAAACATGTCCATCCGACAGAGTCGAGCGACTCGTCCATTAATGAAAGGGTCGATTAATTGAGGATAATTATAATAAGAGGGTTCTTTCATAGACATGTTAATTAGCTTTCTGCTGCATCCTGAGGATAATAAAAACGAACTTGTACGTCATATATAATTTTATCATTACTTACACATTGAGATTACTGAGTATTCTACTCTTGTGAAGTCTTTCCGGCGATAAAAACGTATTGTATTTGGGAATGAAATTTCCACCCCAGGCAAAGTTATTTCCGAATTTGTCGGAAAATTATCCAATTCGAACGGAATTGCTAAACCCTTGGTATTCCTCTGTGGTATACGCTATCGGAGAACGAAGCAGCGACTAGTGTAAGATTACGTCGTTTAAGCGTGGATATGGATATCGGAAAGTCCACGATGATACGAATTCCATGCGCCATTTAGAGTATCGTTCGAGAGGAAAGTAGTCCATTCGGTGCGCAGATAGAATTGCCGGGAGTGCAGTATCGTCCTGCATCGGGTATAGTCAACGCGCGCGGCTACCACACAGCGACGACCAGCGGATTTCGAGCTGCGCAATTCACCGTCGTCACCGTGCTCGTGGCAGCAGCAGCAACAGCAGCAGCAGCATAAACGGCCAACGTTTGAAATAAACAAGTCAGCGTATTGCGTGTAATATTTATCGCGCCGCCCGTTCATGCATGCTGCGTTGACCAAATCCCACCGTCTCGCTGTGTTTGCTTTCCGGAAACACATCCGACGTTATGAGTTTGCTACATTTATTGGAGCATTGCACGATGACGCGAAGGAGAGCGGAGTGGAGTAGGGCGAAATGTGCTTTACGTTTTGGGACCGAACTCTCTTGGAGCGTGATACATTATTAGACGCGATAGATGGATTAGAAGCAAAGCGAGAAAATCGAAGAGGAAGAGATAACGTAAAGAAATATATTTTAAATTAAAAAATTTACTTATGATTTAAGAAGATTAAGAGTCGAATTTTTTTTTTTTTTAAACATATGTATGACGATTCTCGGGTTGCGCGTGAATCTTAAACGGTACAGTGATGTGTCATTTACAAATCTAATGTTGATGTGTAGAATCTGCGCCAGGAAAAAACGAGCAGCGCGGTCAATCAGTCGCGTTCCGTCGGCGTTTCTTTTATTTCCACTTCATGAAATGTCTATTAACACTAGCACGTAGGCGGCGATAATAGACAGCAATAGCACAGACAGCCAATATCGTCACGCCTGAAACGCCGAGTCATTAAAGCTCGCGGCTTACGGTTAACCAGCCAATAAAGCCGACAGCCACGATTATCTCGGCTGTATCGGCGGCGATGTTATATTGGTTCGTACTTATGCGAAGCGACTTCGGAAGACAGATCGACAGAATGTCTGTAAGAGGATACGATATTAATCTTAGCTCGTCAATGTCGCCGCGCTGTCAGGTATCAAAAATATGATAGTCTCGGTTTATATATACGGTATAAGACATCCTACTTTGAAAGTATAAAAGAAGTCGATAACTGCGTGTGATATACCGGGGAAGTTGCGGAAATAAAAGCTCTGTTTTTACTTGAAACGAGTTTGTCGGCTTGTAACATTATATACAGTTAAAATTAAAGTAGTAAAAATTAAAGAAAAAAGGAGCCAAGGAAGTCATTTACAATTCAATAAATTAATCTGTCTAACTTTAAAAAATAGAAAAAGATTCAGACATTCCGAAGAAACGCTGCAAGCGTTAGCGAATTCTTCATATCGAGCGACGTTTTCCCTTCGGAATCTGAAATCGTGCAAGTTGGTTTCCGATAAACGCGGGCCGCCGCGTGTGCAGACATTTCCGCGCGTAACAACGTTGTTATGCAGCGTGATACGACACCCGGGAGACCGCGACAAGGTCGCCATTAGTCGCCGCATTATGTCCATATATTCGCTTCACGCAGATACCTCGAGCGTATTGCCGGAATTATGCCAATGATTAAGCCGCGTATGCCGCTATTTCGGTGACAACGCGACTCACGCGATGCGCGCGGTAAGTACGTGACCTGGCTTCCGCGCGTCGTTATTATTCGCTCTACATTCTCATCCAAAGACACCTTAGATTAGAATATAGACTGCGGTTTACCTGTAGGAGAACTCGAAGCGCACGTATACCGGGGTCCCATCGATGATGTAAGACTCCCACGTGGCCCGTGGATGTTTCGAGTTCCACGACCAGATTCAGAATTAATGGCAATGAACTTTGCCATTAATTAGGAACCTTGCGGCGCTTCCCGGCTTACGATTCACGCTCCCAGATTTTCATCTACCGCAATTCAGGAAGCAGAAATACCGATGGCCTCTGTTATTATCTTGCTATTTCCCGTTAGGGTCAATTCGAGCTATGAATAAATGGGCATGTCTTAATATCAGCTAAAAATCAGTTGCAGTTTAATCGTTATCATTTCTTAATAATTGACGACTAATTTTATCGTCAGAAACTCTTGTAATATCTCATTGTCGCAATTTTTCCAATTATTCTGATCAAAATGAATTGGATTGGATTTTGGATGTCACGTATTTCACGTAAAAAAAAAATATATATATATATTTAAAAAGCTGAACTTTTCTCTCTCTCTCTTTCTCTCTCTCTCTCTCTCTCTCTCTTTCTCTGTGAATTTTCTTTAGAAAACTTTTTACAATAATACTATGATGAATATTAATAATAATATTAATATGATAGATTTAAATAATAAACAGATTCTTAATTTGTTGATTCGAGAAGATGAGTTTATTCTCGAAATTATGTTTCTCATAGTCAGGTATAATTATATATGGTGAAATAATACGGTTATTGGATGTGATATCGAATCAATGATGAATTTTCCAGGTGACGGCGGTGGATGTGGCATTACTAATAGTGATGTGATAGATTGGATGGAAAGGGTGCAGAATTCCGCCTTACCGGATGAACCGCCTAAGACGGTCCCGTCGGCGAATCAGAAAGAGCCGAAACCAAAAATCGTACCCTGGAACGGTGATGGGGAGGCTCCCGGCCACAAGTACAGTAGAGAAGCTAATGAACCTAGTCATCGCAGGCCACGAAGAGCGACCAGATCGAAAGAAAATAACACCTGCTCGCTTTTCATACAAACGGATCCTCTTATATGGAGGCACATCTCCGAACAGGTACGCGAAATTTATTTCAGGTCTACAGCTCATAAATATATATCGTTGAAAAAACATCCTTTAAATTTTCTTAGATTTAAAATCTACGCAATTTCTTAAATATAAATTTTTGAAATTACGTATAATTTTTAAAATATTCTTTTTTTTTATTAGATATGCCTATTATAAAGCTTATAATTAAATCCAAAAATTTCGGAATATACGGAAAATTAGCATATTTAATTAAATTTGAAATGTTTTATATATTTATACTTATAAAAACCGCACGGAGTTATTGGCCAACCTAATATTTCTTCATTTTTATAATGTATTTATCCTTTGAAATTAAAAGTCAAATACCTTTTTTTCTACATTCTACTGTATAATTTATCGAGTGATAAAAAGAAAGAGAGCGCAGAAAACTGACATTTATAATCATGCAAAAGAAGTAAAGATAGGATAGCAGATTGTTAAAACGACGGAATGACCCAATTCTCGTTGGCAATTTGTAACTAGGGAATGCCAGTATTTCCTTACACAATAGAGAAATACCTCGAGTGCCGACCGTTCTCTTTCTATGGTCACATTCATATGCGTTTTCGTCGGCAGCACGGTCAGTGCAATTCCCCTTTGCATTTTCTCAACAAACCAGACACCATCCGCATTCCAGTGTTCTTCACAAAAAGAATATTCCTATCTCCCCTATGTTCCGGCTTTGATATCGCCGTACGCTTGCATAGAGCGCGTTCCACTGAAAGCAATTATAATGATTTTTTTAGACAAATTTTTTCAAGCTTCTCTTTACAAAAATTTGTCGGGAGAGTTCTGCTTACAAAGATATTTAAAATTTAAGGAAATATTTTTGTACATTAAATTTTAATAAATGCAGACATTTATAAATGTACGGTCAAGCGTAAGAAATTTTTAATATTTGAAACGTAATTACAAGCTGTTGAATGTTGGAAATTAGAAACTTTGTATATCGGAAATTCCATTAAGTATAATACGAATATACTGAGAGAAAAATTCCATCGTCACGTAGAATAAGAGATAGAGCAAGATAATCTTAGATAGATTATCATGGATATTCAGTGTCCGTATTTGTATTCGCAGCTGCATCACGACGCGGAGAAAACCAGGGAGGAGATATTGTCCTTGATCGCACACCACGTCACCGCCGTGAACTACATCTATAGGGACACGCAATTCGACGGCAGGACGGAGCACAGAAACATCAAGTTCGAGGTTCAGCGAATAAAGGTAACGGTATCGCGCCGAAAATAGCATCCGCCGATGTGTGAGTACTCGCGCTCGCCGAACTGACACACTCGTTACTATATCTGATAACAGATCGATGACGAGACGGCGTGTACGCCTCAACAGCCGTACAGCGAACCGAACCCCTTCTGTTTGGAGAACATTGACGTTAGCAACTTTCTGAATCTCCATTCTCTCTCGAATCACGAGGACTTCTGTCTCGCCTACGTTTTCACCTACAGGTAAGCGGACGGTAACAAAACACCACACGCTGCGTTCCGTGTTTGTTTGAGGCCGTTTCGTAAACGTTATTTCATGCTTTGTCGACAGGGACTTCACTGGCGGTACACTCGGGCTCGCCTGGGTCGCTTCAGCATCTGGCGCGTCCGGCGGTATCTGCGAAAAGTTCAAGACTTATACGGAGACCGTGTCCGGTCTGTATCAATCCACTAAGAGATCCCTCAATACCGGCATCATCACCTTCGTAAATTACAATAGCCGTGTGCCGCCTAAGGTATCGCAGCTAACTCTGGCGCATGAAATTGGTCATAATTTCGGATCACCGGTAAGCCACGAAAAAAAAAAAAAAACATTTTCTCGTAGACACACGTGCTCGATCTGTTCGATATACAGAGGTAACAATAACGACCTTTTTTTCCAGCATGATTTTCCGCCGGAATGCAGACCGGGAGGCTTGGATGGTAATTACATTATGTTCGCCTCAGCGACGAGCGGAAATCGACCGAACAACAGCAAGTTTTCAAAGTGCAGCATTGGCAATATCAGCAACGTCCTAGATGCTATCGAGGATAATAAGAAGAGGAACTGTTTCACTGGTATTTTTACATTGCACTTTTCCTTCGCGCTACAGCAGTCTCCAGAATGGAATAAGCGGAAAATAGAGAGAAACGTTGCTTCTAATATTTTTATTTACCTGACAAAATCTATTGTATTTATTATTCACAGGAGCGTTTTGCGGTAATAAAATTGTCGAGGCTGGCGAGGAGTGTGATTGCGGGTACGATGACGACGAGTGCGTGGACAAGTGCTGCTATCCCAGACAGGTGTCTGAGCTGGATAAGATTAAGAATGACACGGCGAAAGGTTGCAATAGAAAATATGGCACACAATGCAGGTATGTAATGTGTGCAAGTAAAACGCGACCGGATGCGACAGGCCGGCGCCCCCTTCGATACATATCCCTCATGAATGTAATTATGCGTTTGCAGTCCCAGTCAAGGACCCTGCTGTTCGAGTGATACGTGCCAGTTCGTGCCCCTCTCCCATCGAGTCCAGTGTAGAGCCGAATCGGACTGTAGTTACAATTCTACATGCAGTGGAAGGTCCTCCGAATGCCCAGCGCCGTTACCGAAAGCCAACAAGACTAGATGCAACGAGGGCACCCAAGTAATTGCGCTCTGTTATTCGGTGAATTGTACGATTTAGTGGCTATCGACGCTGGTTTTAACGACGCGTTATTTACAGTTGTGCATCAACGGGGAGTGTACGGGATCCATTTGTCTGGAGTGGAATCTGACAGAGTGCTTTTTAACGAGCAGTATCATACCGAACATCGACAAGCGAAAGCTCTGCGAATTAGCCTGTCAAAATGGGACTGATGCATCAACGTGTCGCGGAACGAGCGAGTTTGCGCACATGGTGGGATTGCCCGAGGGTGGAATGAGCCTCAGACCTGGTTCGCCTTGCGATAATTTCCAGGTAAGTTATTAATTTCTATGAAATGATTAAGTGGGGTATGTGGCATACATGGATTGTTAACTTTTTTAATTATAAACCTTTTTGAAAGTTACATAATTATAAAATTTTTGTTTTTTTTCTGCAGGGTTACTGCGATGTTTTCTTAAAATGCCGAGCCGTCGATACGGAAGGACCGCTTGCCAGATTGAAAAATCTATTGTTCAATAAAGAAACTTTGTCGTCGGTAGCGCAATGGATAACTGTAAGCATGCGTGTTTTATTTGTGACTCTTATCTCTATATTATCCATTTCTTAACATTGTCTGTTATCTTTGTAACGTTGTTTGTTTTAGGAATTTTGGTGGGCGGTGTTATTAATGGGTATAGCTTTCATCATATTTATGGGACTGTTTATCAAGTGTTGCGCCGTGCACATTCCTTCCACTAATCCTAAAAAGCCGCCTGCGAGGCGCATCAGTGATACGTTAACTAGACCGATGAATACCCTTAGAAGAATGGTATAAAAACAATTACGTTTACATATAAAAGTTTGTCCGTATTACTGTTTGAGATGAAAGATATTTTATCTCAAACAGTAATAAAATATCTTATTTCAAACAGTAATGAGAAAGTAATAGTTTTGTTCATTAATATTATTACGTGTCATTTTTATTATAGCGACATCCACATGGTGGTGGACCTGGGCCAAGGAGTATACCCCCAAGACCAAGTCAAGGTGGACACGGAACGCGTGGACCCTCTCATGGTTATGGAGAGGGTAGAGGTGCTCAATATTATCCGAAAGGTAAATTAAATTAGCCTATTAAGTCATCTATACATTTGTCGTTGCTTGAGTTTAGTTCCTACGCTTAAGCACCAGTCAACACATACAATACATCGTACATCGTAAAAATGCGTACACTCCGGTGTAAAAGAAAGAATTGCTAATGCGGATTTAAACTCAAGTTAACGTTGTGCGCATTTTCTCATCCTCGTGTGACCCGCAACTACATCAATGTCTTTTCCTGTTTGCATCTTCCTCGCATTGACGCGCATCTATGATCTACCTGATACTATCATTCTATGATCTGCAGAGGTGAGCCTGGGGCCTATATTCTTATGCTTAATAGGAGCAAATTCATGAATGCAAATATCATTGTTGCTCAATGTGGAACATAGAGTTTTCATTACTATTTATAATAGAATATTCTAAAATATCTATGAAATTCTTGTATTTGCTCCTAGCTCATTGTTCATGGCATTGCACTGGATGCTAGCTAAAATACTTTATCTATTCCATTCATATATCGGAGCCAAACTCCTTTTTCTGATTTCGCATTATTGATCATATCACTTGTAAATTATTTCCAGAATAATATTATTAGCTACACTAGATAGAACGAGAGAAATAGCACGCGAAGGATACGCAGAAAGCGTGGAGATCGCGGTGGCTGTTTTCTTATTGTCGTATTTAATTTGGCTATTATCTTGTGGCAACAATCCTCTATCCCCGCATATCCAATGTTTACTTTTGGTTACGCGTTTCGTTTCATTGCCGAACATTTTTCTAAACTTTAAGCAGGCTATCGCTCGGTTCCCACAGCTAGTGCGCCACCAAATAGCGGGCCAGCAGACAATTACGGCCGTACCAATCACCCAGAGCTGTATGCCGGCGCCTATTCGGGCTCCGGGGGAGGGGGGAGGAGCGCAGCATATGAGATGAGGCATCACAACAAGGTGTGACGATCCTAGGACGTCGTCACGGACGAGGACCACCAATCGCGGCGTTGCACCACGAGTCGTTGTGTAGGACGATTGCCAAATGCGAAGAGAACCGATCCACTCCACGTAAGGGATGCGACGATGTCTCATAACTGAGATCGAAGCAATAATGACGAGTTTACAGCACAATAGTCGAACAAGATTGAGAGGTCTGACGATATGCTCTTTTATCCAAGTTGCGTAGAATAATAAGAGACGCGCGTAGATATAAAGAAAGTACGCCTCGGTGATCAAATCGATCTCTCATTTTGTATCGATTTGGTAGATGTAATTTCGCGGAGATAAATCGTTGCGAACGACGACTCGGAAGATCGATTTAACCGGAATCACGATGACGAAGTAACGGCGTATATAACAGAAATCGTGAGTACCGAGAATTTTATATATGTAATCTTTTTTATGTAGCACACTAATGCGGTCTTTCGCGTCGCCGTTCGAAGAACTCGTCGCATGATCAAATTTTAGGATGCTTCACCAGTGATGGTGATATTGTTATATGATCAAAGTAATTTAAATCGACCCAACGTGTGATTCATTTCGCTTTAGTGATCGCTGTATTCGTGAAGCGACGAACGCGGCATTGTTGAAAGAAAGCGTCGCATCTTCGCCACTCGCCACTACGAAGATTTAAGGCCAAGATCGTACGGTCTTTGTGTGACGGCGTCCTTCGAGATGTCGATACTCGTGCACGTCGCTCTCGAAAGTTAGATTAAGAGAATCTCTAAGACCTTGTTTGTTAGAGACACAAATTTAGTGGGGAAATTGGCAGTAAGACAATATATGTCCTTTGGTAAACGGCGCACATGTGTAAATGAGTTTTCCAAAGGCGACTTATTGTACTCCGTATTCCGTTTATCAACAAGTAAAGAGTCATCTTTTTAATCAAATCAAAATTTTATCGTGGGACGTTAAACGATCTAATTTAATTTCAAACATACAGCAAACATATGTACTGCAATATGGGCAAGAAAATTGGGACTGTCGTGTAAAATATTACCATATATGTGTATGCCGTTGTTTTTTTATCTGCAACAATTAAAATATTTTTTAAACGGCTTTCTGGAGCGAAATGGCACCTTACCATTACCAAAACATCACAGGTCATTTACTTGATCTCTGTACCATTGTAGAATAATAATTAACGATATGTATTAATTCTTATACTAATTTGTATTAGCCAATTTTGAAGCGAAGTTATGCTGGCTACGCGAGATTATGACGAATATAAGAGCAGCAACAACAAAATGATGCGTTTCTATAGCGATATTCCATTAATTATTATACATGAACGAGGATGATATTGATTATTATTAAGCTATACTGATTATTATTATTAATTAGTTATATCTTACAAATGATAATTTATCTCCGCCTATTGCGAATGTTATAAGTTATATTTAATTAAAAAACGAGTTTTATAACATGCTATATTAAGTCGGGGGCTGCACCGTAAAGACGCAGTTATGCGTATAGCGGACCAAAGATGAGCCCTCTTATCGAAACACGCGACATGTTATATTATATATACATACATACATATATATATATA